CCCCCCCCTAAAAAAAAACAAAAAAAAAACGCGCATCCAGCGCACCTGCCTCAGCCCAACCCGCATGCGTGCGCGCATGCCTGCGCGTGCGTGCGCATGTGCGCTTCGCCCGGCACATAGCGCAGCGCACACACGCATGCGCAGCGCACACACGCATGCGCAGCGCAGCGCGCACCGGTGCTGTGCGCGCAAGTATGCTCTTTGTACTTAAAATACTTTTCACGATTGATCTCATGATAGATTGCCTAAAGGGTTGCGCTCCAATAGGAGGTACAGGGTGGGTGATATGAAGGGTTGGGGTAGGGAGGGGTGTTCGGGTTTACGCTCTCAGGATTGGCCTTCCTCCAAAGAGGATAGTACAAGGTGGGCAGAGTAGTATTCTCGTGGGGGAGGGTGTTTTTGCGGGGGTGTTCTCTTCTAGGGCTGGGCTGGTCTTTGGGTCGGATCAACCACAGAGGTTGGGGAAGAGAACAAGGGGTAGTGCTGATTGCATTCGCTGTCAGCAAGAGGAGGGATTGGTGGGCTGTGCCACTTGGCCGTGGAACAGGGTGGGGGGGGAACTTCTGCTCTACCATGAGTTACTCTAGGGGGGATTGTATTTCATTGAGAGAGCATGGGGTGTCCGAAGGGGGACTGTTCCGAACTGAGGCTGATGGGAGATGGTGGCTCCCTATAGCCGGGACAGGGAAGAACAGAGGGGGGTGTTGACGAGAGAGTGTATTCGAGGGTGTGGCTGGAGGATGATGTTTTGGAGTGTGAGCCTTATGGAGTTGAAATTCGATATTATGATTCATATCCTAAATTGAGATTCTGGTTGGATCCTGATTGTCTAATCTTACTTTGGGTAGGTAAACAGAAATTTTCTGAATTTGAATTCTGTGTCTTGTGGAATTTTCGATTGGGTGGGTTTAGGAGATTGTACCCACCTCTTTTGTTACTGTTTGCGGGCTAGGTGTTTTGAGGATATGTGTTACCTGGGTTGGGGAGGATAGTTTATGGTTGGTGAAATTGCGTCCTGCTGGTGAGGAGGGCTAGCTAGTGGGATTGTTTTAGG